ATTCCTTGATTTATTTTCTTAACTGTAATAATTGTTTCGTCTTTTCTTACAGTACTTACAATCAGATTTGTTGTGGTATTAAGATATTGGCAAAGATTCTGCCTTCGCTGGACGGATCAATCATCAAACTTGCTTTTGCTGGTTGGATCAATCATCATTTTCGTCTTTGGTGGCTGGATTATTTCTGTTATGAATTAATTCTTTGGAACATTTCAACAAACATTATATTTCCCAAAGCTGAAACAAAAACATTAATCGGAGAAAAGAATTGATCCAATATTTAAAATTATAATGTTCGCATAGATAGCATAATATGTTTGTATTGCATATTCATACATCTTTAAGACATAAATAATATACATTGGTACAGGTTTAGAATATTAACTACTTATCTGACATTTGTCCATCCTTCATTTTACTTCTTTCTATCGTCTCCTTTGCGTACTTCCATCGTCTCCTACAGGTTTTATTTTCCAGTTGGCGATGACAAATTCCAATTCGAAGAATGAAACCGCAACAAATTGAGTTATATTTATCTAGGCATGACACAAAACTGAGAATTCACTTTTGTTCATTTATATAATAATATTTTCCTGGAAAAATATATACTTTGTATTGCATATTCATGCATCTTTAAGACATAAATAATATACATTGGTACAGGTTTAGAATATTAGCTACTTATCTGACACTTATCCATCCTTCATTTTACTTCTTTCTAACCTCTCCTTTGCATGCTTCCATCGTCTCCTACGGGTTTTATTTTCCAGTTGGCGATGACAAATTCCAATTTGAAGAATGAAACCTCAACAAATTGAGTTATATTTATCTAGGCATGACACAAAACTGAGAATTCACTTTTGTTTATTTATATAATATCTTCCTAGAAAAATATATACTTTGTATTGCATATTCATGCATCTGTAAAGGCTCGTCTACATTAGCTGTAAGAGTAAGGCTGCAAAGTTGCAAAACACGAAATAAAATATTTTCATTCGCTGACAGCTTACATTACAGCCTTACAGCCTTACTCTTATAGCTATTATAGACGAGCCTTGAGACATAAATAATATATATCGGTACAGGTTTGGAATATCAGCTACTTATCTGACACTAGTCCATCCTTCATTTTATTTCTTTCTATCCTCTCCTTTGCTTCCATCGTCTCCTACAGGTTTTATTTTCCAGTTGGCGATGACAAATTCCAATTCGAACAATGAAACCTCAACAAATTGAGTTATATTTACCTAGGCACGACACAAAACTGAGAATTCACTTTTATTTATTTATATAATATCTTCCTAGAAAATATATACTCCCTCTCTCTCTCCCTCTCTCCCTCTCTCCCTCTCTCCCTCTCTCCCTCTCTCCCTCTCTCTCTCTCTTCCTCTCTCCCTCTCTCCCTCTCTCCCTCTCTCTCTCTCTCTCCCTCTCTCTCTCTCTCTCTCTCTCTTTCTCTCTCTCTCTCTCTCTCTCTCTCTCTCTCTCTCTCTCTCTCTCTCTCTCTCTCTCTCTCTCTGGCTGTGATACATTAGTGAGTGATTATTGTTGCTCAGTACTTTTATTTAATTTTTACAAAAGTCATAAAATTACAAAGCAACAGTAATTTGTCACTCACCGATTTATTATAGAATCAGTATTAATTTTGTATAAGGATAATTTATCTATATTTCTTTTTTATTTATATCATATAAGTTTTTTCACCTTGTTATTATTTGACTTTTATTTATTTTCATTTTAATTCACATCATATCACAATATATTTACACATGTACGTTTTATTTATTTTTGGCAAGGTCGAGAACAGAAAAATATTTGGCTCCTCCGAGCTGATCCATGATATCAGAGATGTTTGGTAGGGGATAGGCATCTCCAATGATTTTTTCATTAAGATTTCTATAGTCGATTACCATTCTCCATCTTTTGTTCCCTTTGGAATCTGCTTTCTTGGGAACGATCCATACAGGCGAATTGTAGGGAGAAGTAGAGGGTTTAATAATGTTATTTTGTAATAATTGTGAAATTTGTTTCTTAATCTCTTCTTTATGCATAGGCGGAAAACGGTATTGTTTTGTATTTATGAGTGAGTCATCAGTCGTAAGGATTTTGTGTGATGTAGTGGCGGTTTGTCCCAAAAAGTCGTCTGGAAGATAGAATCGATCTTGATGACGCTCTACCAAAGATTGAATATTGGATTTTTCCTCGTTATTTAAATGATCTAGACGAAGAAGGTTGAGGATTTTGTCTGTCCGTAACTCGAATTTGGAGGTTAAAGAGAGGATATAATTCGATTTGCCCAAAGATTTTACCGTTCCTAAGACAGATGAGGGCGTAGATATAGAAGGCTTAGATTGATTAAGATGAATGCCTAAAGATTTTTCCTGTCTTATGGCAGGTGGAGGCAATTTTATTAATTCCGAGTTTACTGGATTGCATTGAGAGTGATCGCTTCCAGATCCTTTCTTAGAGTCATCGCTAAGATGATCAAAGTTGGAAGTAATTGATTTTGGTGCACTCGTGAGATTAAAGGAATTCGAAAAATTGTTGCTATTTAAGCAAGCAATTTCTGATAAACTAGAGGCAGTTTGAAAGACTTCTTGTAGATGAACAGTAGGAACAAGAAGATTGAGTTCGGTCTCAATAGAGTTAATGACACGAATATAGGCCTTGCCATTAATATACGTGACCAAAGAGTCTCCTAAATAGACTCCGGGCGTCACGTACATTCGTGGTAGATATCCAGTTTTTATTTCCGGATTTGAAACTCTGATCATGAAGCCGACATTTGATCTTGGAGGAACTATAATACTTTCGTGTAGTTTAAAAGGAATTTTATGTTGTTTCCAGGTAACATGTCCACTGCCGTAATCTATTTGTGCATTTTGTTCAATAAAGAACGAGGATTCCAAAATTCCTTGTTGCGTAATTGGAAAATGATTATCTATGACGTGGAAGGTTACTGGGGTACTAAAAAAGTAGATACGCACTATTCCCAAAGTGTCTACGGCCTTTTCAGTAATTCCTTTTAATTTTAAAATTTGTTGTTTGTCAATAGATATCGTTGGATTCAAGCTACCGATTTTTATAAGGTTGGATTGAGCTCCGGTATCAAGCATTAGCGCAGTTGGTCTTTGGAAAGAAGGCGAATCTAATTCTATGGTAGGCACTGTTCCTGCTGCGAGCTCGAGAGCTGCGATTCTGACACTTCTGTCGATATCGGGTATAAGAGGCGCGCTTCCGCTTGTCCCCGACTTGCGCCCGTGGTCGAGGGACCAGGTAAGTTTCCCTGTTGGTTTTCACGTTTAGTATTATTGTATTGTCTCTTTCGACACTCAGAAATTAAATGACCAAAATTTTTACAGTATGCACAAATTTTTGATGGGGAAGGAGGATCGATTGGTTGTGGTTGACGCGACGCGTTAGTTGGAGCGTTACCACGAAATGGAGGACGGTTAGACTGCATAATATCAATGCGCGGTGTTTGCTTCTGTTGATTAGGAGATGAGTTTGTGTTAACTGGTCTATTTATATTATCTCGTAGGCGTAGATGATCTCGCTTAAGTCTTTTGCTGATGAGGATAGCTTTATTATATGCCTCGTAGAGATTGTGATATCCTTCTATACGAATTTCGGTACGGTATTCAGGCGGAAGACCTTCAAAAAAGGATTCTAATGTGTATGAGTCGATCTGTTCAATTTCGATATTATTAAGAGGCCGTTTGTACTGAGTTTGGTCTCCCTCTATTATGGCATTTCGTAAATCTTTTACTCGACCGATATAATCTAAAATGTGCTCTGAAGGTTTCTTGAAATTTATGCTTAATTGTCCACGATAATAGTTGGAAGATCTTGCAGGTCCGAAAGTTCGTTTCAGTGAATCTGTGAATTGATCAACTGTATTGTGTATTTCATCCTCAACAGCTAGGTATGCGTGTCCTGTTAGCTTATTTCTTAATAAACGTACTAAATGGTCCTCATTCATAAGAGGGATCAATTCTTTTGCGCGTTTACAAGAGCGTGCAAATTGTAGGACAGGTAGTATATTATGTCCGTCATATTTTGGGACAAGTTCTAAGGCATCTCGTATGGACGAGTTAGAATAATTTGTTCCGTAATTTTGGAAAGGATTTGAACTAGCTGGGAAATTAGGAGCAGTTTCTTGAGTGGGAATAGGAAAAGGTCTCTTACACGGTTCTATCATTGATATTAGAGATTGATCTGGATTAATTTGATGTTGTGCATTTGGATTATCTTGAAAGAAAGATAGTTGTTCTTCTTGATCTATTTGTGCTCCACTTGGAATCTGTGTTCTCTTTTGGACCATATTCACACGATGTTCTAGATTTAAAAATTGCTCTGGTAATGATTTAATTGTCGCAAGTTCCTTTTGAATAGAGCTTAGAAGAAATAGCACCGAGATTATTGATATCGACATTAGCGGATCTTATACGTTCAAATTCTTCGCGTTCTTTATCGAACCCTTCTCTTTGAGCTGTCAATGTTGCCGCTTGTTTTCGCAAACGTTTTTCTTTATCTACAGTTTGTTTCTGCATACTTCGATTTCTCCCTCAGAAAGTGAAAGAGTTTCGGAATCGATGTGAGATTTACCACTTTGTGATCGTGTATTGTGTGCCATTTTGGTGAATATTATAGTTGCACAATATATATATAACCACAATTATATAGTATAAAAATATTATATGTAGCTGAAATAGAGCAAGATATATAGTGATTTACAAAAATATATATATATATATCCTAACGGTATCCCACCGCTGTCACCAGTTTTGTTCTATACTGCTGTTACGTCCTGGACAAGCATAGAACATGCAATGTCTAGATTTGTTTGGTTTACTTCGGATCAGCGCTGTTCTTGTCCAAATCCTTATTATTTGAATCTGTTTCCTTTGGAGGTGGGTTACTGTTAGGTTTAAAAATAATAGTATTCTCGCTAGTGTTGAATTTAACTTCAAATATATTTCCCTTTATTTCAAATTTTATTCTCGGGACCGAAGATTTAGATGGATCTGTTTTGAAAACAGCCAGGTCGAGCGTGCCTGGATTATAATAACTTTTCAACAAACGTCTAAATTGAATCCGCCGTCCGGCTCTTCTTGTTCTTTTCGGCATGAGAGATTTTTAGGTAATATTTATTTTAACAATATCTATAATAGAGTAGATGGAAGGGACGTGGTTTGAAGAATAAAAAGGCGAATGGTGCTCGTGGTTCAAGCACAACACTCTTAAAGTAAGGAAGAGAAGAACTGTGTTCGTGGTTCAAGCACTGCGTTCTGGGAAAAAGGGAGGAATGGTGCTCGTGGTTCAAGCACAACACTCTTAAGGTAAAGAAAAGAAGAACGGTGCTCGTGGTTCAAGCACGGCGTTCTGGAAAAAGAATGAAGATGATAAGAGGGAACAGAGGTAAAGAAATCTGTACACACATATATATATATTATGAAATTACTCTATATTGTTAAGTTTAAAAATTCATACACTAAATTTAATGTAGTTAATAGCTGGCTCAATACTTATTCAAGTAAAAGAAATGTTTCTCTATATCATTATGAGGAAAAGAGGCTCGTTCGACCTTTAATGATTTGGATTTTACGTCTTAACAAACGTCTTAGCATTTGCAGACGGAGTCCCAAGAACAATAATCTTTAATACCGACCTTTTGATTCCAGGCTCAAGACCCCTGGCAATCGGCTAACAAGAGACTGCTTAAAGACTGACGAGAGACTGCCTAGAAACTGACGAGAGACTGCCTAGAGACTGACTAGCGCGCGAAGGGCCGAGCTCTTTTTATACCCAAGCCCGACACTATGGATATCAATTGAGCGTCTTTTCCTAATTCACCCTTCATTATTTATTGGTTAAAAAATATAAAAATGTTATTATCTAGTAATTAAAATTATACTTAATCATATGTAGCGTTTGGTAATTCAGTTGTCTCGTTGTTGGCTGATTTATTAATAAAATTATGTTTTACTAAGAAATGGAAATGTTGTTATTGATTTCCTTTGGTATAATATAAGAATTTGGAAATTTTGAATATTAAAAGAACTATTTCATTCGGGCGTAGTAATCGTTAAAGCTAAATAATACGAATAGATCCTCTTACGATTCTAAAGTGCATATACATTAGGATAGGCGGTTTGACAATAATATTTGAGGAATTATTTGCGAAATATGATGACAATTATTTAATATCATTTAAAAAGAAGAAAAATAGAAGAAAGAAAGGGAATTATTTTTCTCTTCGAGTCTTTGTTTCAGGTCTTTGTTTAGTTCGCAGTACGTGGGACAGCTATCACTCGATGATATCTATAACATAAACACATTCCAATATGTGCGCGGCTGTGCCCGAACGAAATCGTTCTTAGTCCCCGAGACAAATGAATTTATAAGCTAGATCTAAATTTATTTCTTAAATTTTCTTATTCTCTCTCTTCCTATTATACAGGGTGCACGATTTATCTGAAGACATTGAAATATCTCGAGAACTATGCATTGGATAAAAAAAAGTGGTTAATGAAAGTTGTTAGTTTCGAAGGGGGACATCCAATGATACCAAACTCGACCTCCCACCCCACCCCCTGGGGGTGGGGGTTGGGGGCAACTTTGAAATCTTAAATGGAAATCCCCATTTTTTATTGCAGATACGGATTCTACGCCACAAAATACGTAAATTTTGTCCGAAACTTTTTTTCTGATTCATGATAGATGGCGCTGTAATCGCAAAAAATTATATTTTCCGCAATTCTCCAGAAATGATCATTGGATTGAGAAATAAAAAATACCTGTTCAATATTTTTAAAGAACATAATAAAAGTTATTAAAAAGATAAGGTTTATCAACCTAACCTAAAAGATAAGGTTTATCAACAAGTGTCAACAACTCGTGTAAACATGGTAGAATGCATAAGAAACGCTTACGCTGAAACTCCCGCAGATATGCTTCTATCCTGTGTACAGTCATTTGAAAAAAGGATCAATAAGTGTATTGAAGTTGAAGGTAAAAATTTCGAACACTTACTCTAATTAATTGAACAGTGAGAGGCAAGGGGACTCACATTAAAAAAGCACTCCGATCTGTGAGAGGCAAGGGGACTCACATTAAAAAAGCACCCGAAGGGAACACAAAACTACTACGTCCTCGTCGTTGTTCCTGTGTAACGCTAAAAATAGTTTCTCGGAAAAATTTAACACTATCTATCACGAATGAAAAAAATTGTTTCAATAAAAATTTCACGTACAATCTAATTCTGCAATGAAAAATGTGGGTCCCCATTTGAGATTTGAAAGTTATCACCCATCCTACCCCGAGAGGATGGGGGGGGAATAACTTTTATTATGTTCTTTAAAAATATTGAACAGGTATTTTTTATATATATAAGAGCATTTTTAATTTTTTTTCAATATTGCCTTTTCCAAACATAATGTTATTATATATGGTTGAATTTGTCATAAAATAAGCTTTATTTTGGTTGGACAATTGATTTTAACAATTTGAAAAAAGAGAAGGAGGGGGGGTATTTTATACACAATTTTACATTTTTAAAAAATCTAAACATAGCATAATAAAGTACTTTTAAAACCATAAAACATTTGTCTAAAACATTTTTTCATATCTTTCATAGTTTCGATAATATTCGCTTAGAAAGACAAAAATCAACTTTGTTCAAGAGGTTGTTTCCACCCTTAAAACCGTTTTTTGGCACCAACGAAAAATTGTTTTGTTATTAGGTATATCTGCTCTACAATTATGCAGAGTTTCAGATTTTTTTGAATTTCCGCGTTGCCGAATGTCCCTTGTCAGTTTTGTTTAAGCGCGCGTTAAAGATGGACACTAGCAAAGAGAAAATACGCTACATTTTACAGTTTTTCTTCGATAAAGGCGAAAACGCAAGCCAGGCGGTTGAAAATGTGAATAGTGTTTATGGTCCTGATACTGTAACAGCCAGTCATGCGCAATTTTGGTTTCGTCGATTCCGGCAATTTCGATGTCAAAGATGCACCACGCACTGGAAGGCCAATTGTCGAAAATATCGATAAAATCATGGACATTGTCGAGTCATGTAAGCACTGTTTCGATTGCCCAAGAGCTAAAGATTACACAAAAACCGTTTGGAACCATTTGAATAAGGCTGGATACAAAAAGAAGCTCGATGTATGGGTGCCACACGAGTTAACGAAAAAAAACCTCATGGACCGAATTTCCATCTGCGAATCGCTGCTGAATCGCAACAAAATCGACCCATTTCTGAAGCGGTTGGTTACTGGTGATGAAAAGTGGATCACTTACGACAACGTCAAGCGAAAACGGTCGTGGTCGAATCGCGGTGAGCCGGCGGAAACGGTGGCCAAGCCAGGATTGACGGCCAGGAAGGTTTTGCTGTGTGTTTGGTGGGATTGGCAGGGAATTATCTACTATGAGCTGCTCCCTTACGGCAAAACTCTTAACTCGGAACTGTACTGTCAACAATTGGATCATCTGTAGGAAGCAATCGCCCAGAAGCGGCCAGCTTTGGCCAATAGGAGAGGAATTGTGTTCCATCAGGACAACGCCAGGCCGCACACATCGATAGTGACTCATCAGAAGCTCCGGGAGCTTGGTTGGGAGGTTCTTATGTATCCACCTTATAGTCCGGACCTGGCACCAAGTGATTACCATCTGTTCCTGTCTATGGCGAACAATTTTGCTGGTGAAAAATTCGCTTCAAGAGAGGCTTGTGAAATCGAATGTCTCAATTTTTGCCAATAGGGACGAGGGCTTCTATGAGAGAGGCATAATGAAATTACCTTCAAAATGGCAACAAGTTATCGAACAAAACGGCGTATATTTGACCTAAATCGGATCATTCTAACTATGGTAATTAAAGCCTTCAATTTCATATAAAAATAATGAATTTCTTTTTACTACACCTGATATTATTGTCGAACCGCCTATCCTAATGTATATGCACTTTAGAATCGTAAGAGGATCTATTCGTATTATTTAGCTTTAACGATTACTACGCCCGAATGAAATAGTTCTTTTAATATTCAAAATTTCCCAATTCTTCTATTATACCAAAGGAAATCAATAACAATATTTCCATTTCTTAGTAAAACATAATTTTATTAATAAATCAGCCAAGAACGAGATAACTGAATTACCAAACGCTACATATGATTAAGTATAATTTTAATTACTAGATGATAACATTTTTATATTTTTTAACCAATAAATAATGAATGGTGAATTAGAAAAAGACGCTCAATTGACATCCATAATGTCGGGCTTGAGTATAAAAAGGGCTCGGCCCTTCGTGCGCAGGCAGTCTCTCGTCAGTCTCTCGTCAGTCTCTAGACAGTCTCTTGTTAACCTCCAATTAGCCATCAGATAGTCTTTCGCTGAGCCTCTTGTTAGCCGATTGCCAAAGGGTCTTGAGCCTGGAATCAAAAAGGTCGGTATTAAAGATTATTGTTCTTGGGACTCCGTCTGCAAATGCTAAGACGTTTGTTAAGACGTAAAATCCAAATCATTAAAGGTCGAACGAGCCTCTTTCCCTCATAATGATACTATAGAGAATCATTTCTATTACTTGAATAAGTATTGAGCCAGCTATTAACTACATTAAATTTAGTGTATGAATTTTTAAACTTAACAATATAGAGTAATTTCATAATATATATATATATATATATGTGTGTGTACAGATTTCTTCACCTCTCTTCCCTCTTATCATCTTCATTCTTTGTCCAGAACGCAGAGCTTGAACCACGAGCACCGTTCTTCTCTTCCTTACTTTAAGAGTGTTGTGCTTGAACCACGAGCACCATTCGCATTTTTATTCTTCAAACTTAACCACGTCCCTTCCATCTACTCTATTATAGATATTGTTAAAATAAATATTATCTAAAAATCTCTTATGTCGAAAAGAACAAGAAGAGCTGGACGGCGGATTCAATTTAGACGTCTGTTAAAAAGTTATTATAATCCAGGCACGCTCGACCTGGCTGTTTTCAAAACAGTCTCATCAAAATCTTCGGTCCCGAGAATAAAATCTGAAATAAAGGGAAATATATTTGAAGTTAAATTCAACACCAGCGAGAATATTATTATTTTTAAACCTAGCAGTAACCCACCTCCAAAGGCAACAGATTCAAATAATAAAGATTTGGATAAGAATAGCGCTGATCCGAAGTGAACCAAACAAATCTAGACATTGCATGTTCTATGCTTGTCCAGGACGTAACAACAGACTTCTGCATAACGCATGTATGCAGTAGAACTCCGGCAAATGCTGCAGTGACCAATCAGAAGACAGGCGCATGCCAGAGCCGCAGCCGGACCTGCACCTGTTTCCTGATTGGTCATCGCAGCATTTGTCGGAGGCTCTACCGCATATATGGAGTCTAAGGCTGTGTTTCAAAATTCACTGCCAGTACTGAAAATATGTGGTTTGTGTCACGTATATTATAGATTTTCAGTGCTAGCAGTGAATATTGGAACGCAGCCTAAGCTCAAAGGCTGAATTCCGATATTCACTGCCAGTACTGAAAATATATAGTTTGCGTCACGTATACTATAGATTTTCAGTACTGACAGTAAATATCGGAACACAGTCTAAGCCAGCGGCACAGCAGTGCTTGTTTTCGTGCTGAATTGCTTGCTGGATGAAAATACTGCGTTCGCGATTGGTACATTTCTGAAGATG